TCAGCGGGCAGCGGTCAGCAGGCAGCGGGCAGCGGTCAGCGGGCAGCGGTCAGCGGGCAGCGGTCAGGCATGGGTCCCGCTTTCTCGCTGCTGGGCAGCGCCCGAACTGGCGGCCAGTGGTTTGGTCTGAGCGGCCCTTTAAGGATGATCCAGTCTCACCCCTCTGTCCCACCCCGTTCAACCCGGCCTCGAGAGCTACCGGATATGTCCAGCTGAGGTTGCGCTCGTGCACGTGGCGACTGTTGTCCCTTGCTCTGGCACTACTGTTCTTGGCATAAGAATATTTTTCTGTCTTTCTTCGAAGCTCCGTCTGCACGCTGATAGGCTGCAATAAGGTCTCTCCAGAGCCGCCTTCTCCTCCATGCTGAGCACCCTCAGCTCCCCAACCTGTCTCCAGCCGTTGGAGCAGCTCTGTGGCCTCCCCTGGACTGCCTCAGCAGCTCCAAATCTGTCTTGTTCTGAGGGTCCCAGGACTGGAGAAAGCTCTGCAAGTGGGGTGTCAGCCGAGTGGGGCAGAGGGACAGAGTTCTTCCCCTCAGCTGCTGCCAATGCTGCTGGGGATGTGCACACTGCCAGCCCCTGTCCAGTTTTTCGTTTTCCTTTTCAGAACCTTTCATCCGCTCACTTCCTGGTCTGGTTCCAGAGTTGCCCCCAGCCAGATGTAGGGGAGGATTTCAGGAAGCCTGAGCAGCACAGTTTCCTCACCTCCTGGCCACCCTCACTGTGCACTCAGATGCGCTGTATTTCTATTTCTGGTGGCACCACGAGCGCTGCCCCAGTATGGCCACAGGCTCTGTCCCTGTTCACAGGGCCTCAGAACCAAGGCTTGACAAGTGTGCTCTGCATTTTTCATACCCTGCCCGCAGCTTTGTTCACTTTGTTCTCTTCCCTTTGTTCACTTTAGGTGTGAGAGCAATTTCTCCAGGTATCTGTGGTTAATTTATTTTACTTATCTATCTTTGCGTGGTACAGCCATGGTATTATTGGTAGTAATAGCAAACAGTTATTGGTAGAATGAGATATTTACAACTCTTAACATATACCTATGTGACTAAGTGGAAGGAAAGAGAAGAAAGGAAAAAAAAAATTAAAAAAAGAGGATGGGGAAACTATGCACAAGAATATCACATTCCTCCCAGTGAAGGACTCAGATGCTGACAACTTCCCATGACTCTCCCCTCCTCCTCTGCAAACATCTGAGTGAACCACAGATCTTAATATCCAGAAGAGCAGCAGGCAGGTCAGTGTAACACCAGGGAAAGCACAGAAACAAAGTGCATGTGTTGCAGCTTTAATTGTATTATTGCTACTAGTGCAGCTTTTTTCTTGTATATAAGTACTTGACTACATTAATTATTTTTTTTTGCTTTTCTGTTATTAGATGTAGATTTATTATGACTCTCAAGTCAGACTGTTAAATTTTCTATTATACTAAAAATAAATTTTGGCTTTAAATGTGGATGTAAAATGGTGTGACTGATACTCTATATGGAAGGGATAGGGCATCCAGAAGGATCTGGACAGGCTAGAGAGAACGGTCCATGCCAACCTCATGAAGTTCAACAAGGCCAAGTGCAATCGCCAGCATGGGTACAGGCTGGGTGACAAGTGAATCCAGAGCAGTCCTTTGGAGAAGGACTTGGGGGTCTTGGGGAATGAAAAACTGAGTATGGGCCAGCAATGTGCACTCACAGCTGATTGTAGCCTGGGCTCTATCAAAGGGAGCATAGCTGGCAAAGGAGCCTAGACTCCAGTTACCTGCTTTAGGGGAAGGTGTTTCTGTCCATGGAGAGAGATGTAAATAGATGATCTTTAAGGACTCTTGCAGCCAAAACCATTATGTGATTCTGTGAAGGTCCATCAGTGGGAAGCACACAGAGTGTGTGCACTTAGACATTCAGCCTACCCAGCAGCTGCCTCTCGATGCCTTGGACATGCCAGACCCTCTGAGGTGCACAACCCCACCACTGGTACAGATTCCATTGTACACAACAACCTACAAACAGACGTGTACACTGTGTACACTCCAGTACATGTGATGAGGTGCTCAGGATGCAGCTGTCTCCTGCACAGAGAAACACAGACCCTCAACCCTCTACCTTCAGTCTAATAGTCAACTACTCCAGTTGTCTCACTAATACAGACATACACACACACCTGTTTCACAAACTACTTGGCCTATTTGCTGGCTAATCTGTCTTGATATTTACTAATGATCGTAGACTGACATGGTCTCGCTCCATCCCATTGTGGGCACTTAAATCCGCATGCATACATATGCCCAGAGCACAGTACTGTGGAGCTGGACAAAAAAAAGAGGTAGAAGTGTTAGAAAACAAGAAAGACTGTGATTACCAGGCAGAAGACACAGATAGACATTCATACTGATTAGCACCATTCTACATGCAACCAGCCCCTTCTATTTCCCTTGCCTCCATTTTCTTATGTTTGTTCATTCCCAAACTACCTAGACCCATCCCTTTCCACACCTTCTGTTCCTCCCCTAAACATCCTGTTGTGAGTCTTGTCCCCAAATGCTCTTGCCCTGGACCTCCTAGCATTTTCTGTGCCCCTAGTCAGTACTCAGTTTGTAGGGTGCTCCACAACCTCTCCCACTGACTCATCATGGGTGCCACCTCTAGGCCCATGGGACTGATAGCTCCTCTGAGACGTATTTAGAAAGAGCTGGGAGAGGGCCTTTATTTCTCTTACTCGGTGATTTGTGTTCCCCAGCCTGTGCTTGTCTCTCTTTGCCCCTTCCCCTCTGTACAGTTGAGCCTTTCATGGGTTGACTGCACTTCGATGGTGGTTCTTGGATTTGCCAAACTAGGGGAACATTTGGGTCCCCCCCTCCCCCCAGCCTTGTTCCTCTGTGCTCCTTTGTGTGCATTGAGGTGAGCTTTTTCCCACATAACCTCACTCTTGTACTGGGCCACTTCTGTAACAGTTACTGGCCCTACACACTCCGTTACTCAACATGTCTATTTGAGAAAACAGACTCTCAAATCCACTTAGAGGATCAGATCTTTACTTAACCTCACAGCCCACATCTTGTGGGCATTTCCTCTTATCTTCATGTATAATTATATCAAGGTTAAAAATAGAGTAGTCTACCAATCCAATATAGCTCCCAATACCAGTGTCTGATTAACCTTCTCACCCTTTCTGCTTTAGCTTCTAAAATAGAAGTGATTTGCTAGATTATCTTGCACCTCCTTTCCATTCTAAGAAGACTGTTTGTATCATTGAAGGTTTCTGGTTTGTGGATCAGCCTCCAAGAAGATTAACATTTATAATTGGCTTGTGGAAAGTTAGATCCCTCACGTAACTGACATTAGTGTTGAGCATGGACAGGAGCGAACAGGCAGTGCTCTGAGAGCCGCAGGAGAAAGAGGATCATTCCTGTATCATCATCCTTCTGACCACAGGTACATATGGGAAACAACAGCAGCTCCACAGTGGATGATCTACAGGCTGTCGAGATCCACCACTGGTACAAGAAATTCATGACAGAGTGTCCTTCTGGACAGCTGACAGAGCATGAATTTAAGCAGTTCTTTGGGCTCCGAGGGCTGGATCCAGAGGCCAATAAGTACATTGAGCAGATGTTCCGCACGTTTGATATGAACAAGGTGAGTTCTCCGGCAAGGAATTAACTGTCTCGTGCTGCTTAGAAGTGATCCAACTCCTGCAGTTTCAGAGTCTTTGTCTTTCTCTTGCAAACATAAAGAACATAAATATCCTCTTGGAAACATTTTTCTCTTGCAAACATTGGTGTGGAAAGATGCCAAGGGATGCTGATGTAAATACCTAAATGTAAGGAGCAAATTAATGTGTACAGGTAGTAACATAGATGACATAAACAGTACTCCTGATTATCTAACTCCCTCATGCAAGTTCATCTTTGAATTTTGAAAATTCCTTATTGCCTATTATTTGACATGGCCTTGTTTAACTAGCAAAATGCTAATTTCACTATTCTTCTTACATGTTCTTATTATTCAAAAACATAGCTGTATGAGATTGTGGAGACCACAGGAATCAGACACAATAGAAATCATTATAGTATTCACATAGGAGTAATTTCCAGGTATTTGGCAGCTGAAATTAACACTACATGGGCAGACAATGTTTGTGGCTCTCCTCAGTGCTGGAAGGTGCAGCATGAGAGTGAGGGGGTGTGTATTGTTCCTCATTGTGATGAGTGACTGCTGGTAGAAAACAGGAGCCCCCATAATTCCTTTAAGCATGCAATGGCCCTCACTCTTGCCTGCTTTTTATCCATATGTATTTCAGCCTATGATTGAAAGCCTGTATTCTTAATGACAAAGAAAACTGGGTTTATAGCATCCTGGGAAAATTCAGATATACTCTCTGCTCCAAGGCTCTGGAATGGAGTCAAGGAGGATCCAGTCACAGAGCCATGAGAACCAGGCAGGAAATCACAGAGTTAGTCTTGAAGAATGAAAGCTTAGGGACCAACAAAGAATGTTATTTTGGACATGTGAGACAGTATAAGGAGCTAAGGAATGCTTAGGAATATTACAAAATTCTTAAAGAGAGGAGCAGGCAGGCCCCCTTACGGTAGCTGAGGTCTTGTGGTAGATGACTGGAAATGACTACAGACCTCAAAGAATATCTTCTCTCATCCCAAAGTCCTCTGTGACTAGGAGAGTAAGACTGATGAGAAGCAGTTTCATAAGTGAAAGCAAAACCTTAACAGCTTTTGCACAAGTTTTTGTTTCATTTCACCTTTCTCCCTTCTTGGGATGTTTAATGACTTTAAAATTTATTCAAGGATGTTGAGCATTCCAAATTTTTCCTGTGAGCCCTATGTTTTCCAGTAAACAATGTTACAAGAAGATTCTCAAATTCAAACTTGGTCAGAAAAGATTAAAAGCTATCACCTAAAAAAAGTGACAGTGATCACAAGAGGAACGAAGTAAGAGTGTGGCAACTAGTGGCAATGGATCTACATCAGTTAATCTTAAGTCTGCTAACAGCTAGTCACTTAATCGCTTTTAATGAACAAGGGCAAGGAACAAGGAACAGAGGAAAATCCACCCTGTCGTAATACAGACATGATGGATGGAATTGTCTGCCTTCTGGACCTTCAGATTTTGAGAACTTTGATGATGACAAATAGGATAAATTTTCAATGTTCTTCTTTTATGAGTTGCAATTGTAGAATTGTAGAATGGTTTGGGTTGGAAGGGACCTTAAGGGCCATCTCATTCCACCACCTCCCATGGGCAGGGACACCTTCCACTATGTCAGGTTCCTCCAAGCTCCATCCAACCTGGCCTTGGACACTTCAGGGGCCAGGGCCTCATCACCCCCTGGGTAAAAACTCCTTCTCAACACCTCATCCAAATCTCCCCTCCTCTAGATTGAAACCATTCCTCCTTGTCCTGTGCAACCTGCCCATGCAAAAAGCCACTTCCCCCCCATTATTATAACCTGCTTAAACTTTACTTCAACACTTCAGTCACGTCAGCATCGGTGTGGCCGCAGCGCAGCAGCGTGGGCAGGACAGAGAAGCCTCTGGCCCAAGGCTACCTTTGGCCTGGCAGGAAATGCTGTGGTCCACTGTAGCCCTGGGTCCTGCTCATCCTGTTGCTGCTCAAGCTTCTTTGTCCTTCAGAAACTGCAGGAACTCCTGCAGCAGATTCCAGAATTGCACCAGGATCTGGTGTGGGAACATCACGGGAAGTGACGTGCCCGAGGATGTCACCACTGGTCGCTGGCTGTACTCGGGGGTCAAGCGGATGTGTTCCTCTGGTTCCTCTGGTTCCTCTGGTTCTTCTGGTTCCTCTGGTTCCAGACTCTGCTCAGGGGCCAAGGTGACAACTGGCTCCGGTGCTGGACCGGCTCTTTCTGCTGGGCTCAGGCCCGTCTGGAGCAGGATCCAGTTGTAGAAGTGCTGAGTGGAGGTGTAGACCCCGGGGTGCCTGGCTCTGTCACAGCCTTTTCCCCAGCTGTTCATTCCCACAAGCCAGAAGTAGTCGGCTCTGTTGTCCTTGCAGACGAGGGGACCCCCACTGTCCCCCTGTGCCAGGAGAGAAGGCTCAGAGGCTGTGGTGGGCTGCTGCCATCCCCAGGGCCACCTCCTCTCTCCCATCCCAGGGCTGGCTCCTCTCTCCCATCCCAGGGCTGGCTCCTCTCTCCCATCCCAGGGTTTTCTCCTCTCTCCCATCCCAGGGTTTTCTCCTCTCTCCCATCCCAGGCTTTTCTCCTCTCTCCCATCCCAGGCTTTTCTCCTCTCTCCCATCCCCAGGGTTATCTCCTCTCTCCCATCCCCAGGCTTTTCTCCTCTCTCCCATCCCAGGGTTGGCTCCTCTCTCCCAGCCTCTGCCAGGTCCACATTCCCAGCCTGGGAAGGTTCAGCTCAGGGTCCAGAGCCTCCAGGCCCTGAGCTGGGAGCAGCTCGGGGGCTCTCCCATCTCTGCAGGTGGGTCCCAGATGTGTGGAGGACAGATGTTCCAGGGTCACATCTGAACTTCGGGTTTTCTGGGGGCACTGAATGGGCTTTGTGCGCAGGACTGGGCCTTGGGGACAAGGGGACCAACAGGTGAAGAAGAGAAGGGCATCCCCAGGATATAGGGCAGGGATGCTCAGATGGGGAAAGGAAGGGCAGCCCAGGCAGTGGTAGAGACCCAAGGGTGGCAGAGTGCCAGGCCAGGCCCGGCTTGTGCTGGGCTGTGTTTGGGGGATGAGGGGTTCCTGTTCTGCTGGGGACTGAGGGACTCATCACACACTCCTACCTGGCAGGTGTCGATGCTGCCCTGCGGGTACCCAGCACACAGGTTGCGGGGGTGGATGGTCCCCGCATACCACCGGCTGCTGTTGCAGAGCTCCGTGTCCATGAGGTGGACCTTGGACTCCTGCAGCACCATGCCTGTTCCCTGAGCTGTGGGCACAGAAGGGAATGAGCCCCCAGCAGGTCGGTGCCCATCCCCTCCCCTGCCTGGGGTGGCCCATCCCCTCCCCTGCCTGGGGTGAACTGCTTCCCCTGGTCTGGCTCAGCCCCTTCCCTGGGACTGGCTTTGCCTCCAAGTGACTCGTCCAGCTGCGTCCCTGCTGTTGGCACTGGGGAAGGGGCCAGACCCATCTCTCCAGAAGCTTCACAGTCGTGGAATTGTTTGGGTGGGAAAGGACCTTAAAGTTCATCCAGTTCCATGACCCTGCCACAGCCCCCTGCCCCCCCAGGCATGGACCCCTTCCCCCAGGCCGGGCTGCTCCGAGCCCCGGCCCTGCTGCCATCCCGCAGCTGGACTCTGGCTGTGGCCAGTCCATGTCCCCAGGGTGCCCAGCCTGTGGCCCTGGCATGCCCAGCTCTCCCTCAGGGCGCACATCCTGCATGGGAACTCACCTCTGGCAAAGTTCCAGCCGGCGATGTAGCAGGATTTCAGCTCCGAGACCCTGAGCGAGGCGTCGGGCACGCAGCCCAGCTGGATGTAGTCGCTGCACTCCACGGGCTGCTCCAGCTCCAGCAGGGCGATGTCATTCCTCGCCGTGGCAGGCACGTAGTGCCGGTGTACCAGGAGCCTCTGGATGTGTCTCACCTCAGCCTCAGGGCCCAGCTGAGTCAGATCTATGGCCCCCAACACCACCTCCCACGTGGAGATGTCCCTAGAGAGCGGATGGAGACAGGGGTGACAGGGAGCGGAGCCACGGGCTGGCAGTGGCCCAGCATTTCCCTGCCTTCTGCTTCCCAAGGCAGACAGCGAAGCAGAGAGGAAAGAGCCGGGATGAAAGTGGCACGCGGTGCTGTCACCTGGGCACCTGGCTGTGCTCTGGGGACATCTCTGTCCCTGCTGTTTCTTACCCGCCCCTGGCGAAGCAGTGTGCGACCGTGAGCACCCACTGGGAGCTGAGGAGGACACCGGTGCACATGTGCCACGTGCCGTTCGCCCAGGTGGCCTGGATGCTGACAATGCCAGGCCAGGCCCCTGGCTGGACATTGGTGCTACCCATGACATGGGACGTGCCAGCAGCAGAAGCCACGGAGCCATAGTCGGGAACTGCAGAGCTGTGGTCAGAAGCCATGGGCCGGAGCCCACAGGTCCTTCTGTAACAAAAAGCCATCACTGTTTTGCTCAGTGGCTGCTCTACTCAGGCTGAAAGTCCCCTGTTGTCCCTTCCAGCCCAGTTCTGAGTGGCAGAAAGACCTGGGATGCCTGAGGGGCACATCTGTCCTTCTGTTCTGTGGCAGCCCTGCACACAGATTGTGCCAGTACCTGAGCACTGGCCAGGGAGTGAGGCTGGAACACTGTGGTGTGGGTGTGGGGAACACGTGGGGCCCCTAAAGGGAACCCCCTAAGTGGGGCCACTGACCTGCAGGTGTCCCAGGTGCCTCCCACGGGCCAGGCCAGGGCCAGCAGGATGAGAACCCACAGAAAAGCCATTGGTGCCAGTGCAGGTGGCAGCAGCCAGAACCGAGGTGTCGCCTCCAGTGCAGCCAGCGCCACAGCACCCACAGCCTTTGTGGTGCTCACAGTGCCCCTGGCCCAGAGCCGCTGTCACAGAGGGGCTGGTTCTGTGTGCTGGGCATGGCAGGGAGGGGCAGCACAGTCATAGAGACATGGAATGGTCTGGGTGGAAGGGACTTTTAATGACCACCCAGTGCCGTCCCCATCATGGGTAGGGCCACCTTCCACTGTCCCAGGCTGCTCCAAGCTCCGTCCAGCCTGGCCTTGGACACTGCCAGGGATCCAGGGGCAGACACAGCTCCTCAGGGCAACCTGTGCCAAGGCCTGCCCACCCTCAAAGTCAGAAATTCCTTCCCAACACCTAATCTAAATCTGCCCACCTTCAGCTCAGGGCCATTTTTCTTGTCCTATCACTACATGCTCTTGTCCAAAGTACCCCTCCAGCCTTCTTCTAAGCCCCCTTTAAGTACTGGAAGGGGCATCAAAGTCTCCCTGGAACCAGCTGTTCTCCAGGCTGACCAGCTGTAACTCTCTCAGCCTGTCATGCCCTTCTTCCCACCCTGAGTGAACATTTCAAATGTGGTGATCCTTACTGTAAAACAGCAGTGCTCTGCTAGATCACCTGCATCCACGTTTTACATATGTTTATTTACATCCATTTCAGAAAGGCATCTGACTTTGATTAAATACCTCAAGAAATTAAAGTTTCATTTTTTTGCTCTGTTATTTGTTGTGGTTATCCAGAAACTTTTACCTAGATATGTGTTTTATTTGCAGTTTGTTTTTAACTGCTTCAAAATTTTAGTCAGCTTTAAATTTAGGGCTAAAGAACCTTTACTAACTGGCATTTTTCTTGCAAAAGAAACAAGAGATTTTTTTACTTTCTTTGTAGAGTCAAGAAATGAAATATTAAAAACCTAAATACTGAACATTTTTCCAGTGGTCAAATCATACTCTGTGTATTTCACAAAATATCCCCAGTCACTTTATTTTCCACAGAATGGAGAAGAGATCTATGGCTTACTGGAACAGCAGTTTCCCACAAAGGCAGAGCAGACTAGTACAGGAAACTTGCAGCCCATGAGCTGGGCTCAATATTCTCTCCCAGCAAGCCAAAGGCAGTCAGCTTTGGTGCACAGAGGGGGCTTTGTTCATGCTGACAACGAGGAGTGGCAGGTTACCTCACTACAGATGGTGTGCATAAGGGAGCCACTATGTAATAGATCATAACTTTAGGAACTTGGGTATTTAGTGGATAGAGAAATAATATGTCTCTGCACTAAAGATTTTGCCTAAGTCCAAGTCTCTGTGCCATCTGTTGGCCTTTCTCATTCAGCTGTGAATCTAAAGACCAGTAAGATGAAATAACTTAAGAGCATGCAATCATTCAGTTTATTCCTGTCACAATTTTGGTTTTTTTTTCTGACAGGATGGATATATTGATTTCATGGAATATGTCGCTGCCCTCAGCCTCGTTCTCCGAGGGAAGATGGAGCAGAAATTGCGGTGGTATTTCAAGCTCTATGATGTAGATGGCAATGGCTGCATTGATCGACATGAACTGCTCAACATCATTAAGGTGAATCTCCAGGGGTCTGTGTTCTCGCCTCTTTCCTTAAAGACAAATCACACAAGTAAGACCTTTGCTGTTTCCCACATGGATGATCATGGATGAGACCTTTAACATCCTTCCTTCTCTGAGCAGAATTCCCCATCACCATAAAATGCAATAAGCAGACTTGACAGAATATCACCACAGCTTATGTTACAGCATAGATAACCATAAAATTGTTTTCGCTAACTGTGACATAAATTGCACTTTCCAAGGTTTCAGACCCTGTGACTGTCAGTTGCTATCTCTGCAATATGTCTTTAATATGTCCTTTTCCTCATGAGAAGTTGGAGAGCTACTCACAGTTTATTTTTTAGAATCAGCTCCTAAATATCAACATCATAAAACATTTCTGACTCTGGCAAATAGCCTGAAGAACAATGACTGAGAATGGAAAGGATTGTATGCAAATAACTATTGTGGATGGGGTCGGAATTATGAGCATGAAGATCACTATAAATTTCTCAGAATTAATTACGCTGCAAATTGAGGTTATTTTGCAGGAGCTGCAAAATATTTCCTCCAAGATGCAGGAAAGATTCAATGACCCTAAATAAATTACATTTTTGAATATGAAATGTCATAAAACTGATTTGATAAAGCACTAATAAGATGTTATTAATGCATTCTCATATGGATAAGAATTTTAGAGCTGGGTATCAAAGAGACCTGACCAAAATCAATACCTGTAGTAACATACAGCCTCCTAATAGTAACTTGAAATAGAAATACCCAGACATTACAGTGAAGCAACAGACAACAGCAGTTAAGACAGAGCTGTTGAGAAACAAGTCCTGTGGGCAACAACCAGTGGCAAGAAATGTATTGCCCTTTGTATTTTGTGGGTGTAGTTCAGTGTCTTTTTTGGTAACCTTAGGAAATTGCTGACATGGCATCAGTTTCAGTAAAATGGCATTTGAAAAAGAATGAAGAAAATTACCAAATATCAAAGGGTAAAAACTAGAAAATGAATAGTACTTAGAATCAGTATATTGATACATATATATATATAGATATATCAGTATATATCAGTATATAAGTATATTTAGAATCAGTATAAAGGCTCTGAAATCACATATTTCATGGACATTTTTAAACAAAGGAAATATTAGCACTGAAAGAAAAGAGCTATGTAGTTATGAATAAGGATTGTAGCAAACAGAAGTGGATAAGGCTTAATGACGAAAATTAATTTCCAGTGAGCTTTAGGGAGAAGCCAGACACACAGGAAGCCATATATAAATGGAAATTGTGAAAGTAAGAATAGAAATAAATTACCACAACATATAACAAAGGAATTTCATAATGTCAAGTGCAGAGGGTGTTTGACAGTGTTTCTGAGGCTTGGCGTACCATAAGTTCACAGAGTGAGCCAAAGTGGATCAATTAGGTGGATTCTGATTCTGCCATTTCTGCAGCACCTAAACTGTACCTAAGCAAAATTAGGCAAATCCTCTGGATTTTTCTGTTCATTCCGTGATCCAGAGCTATGCTCCCTTTGCACTCTTCAGTGCCATCCCTAAGGCCTGATGATTTATGCTTTGTTTTCCTATGATGCTGGTTCATTTGTATGGGGAAGGTACCAGGCATGAGTGTCTTACTATGACTCTATGCTGACATGTAGAATCAGTCTGGGAGTTGTCAGGAAGCTTCTTACTCTTGCTCTTTTATTTTAGGCTATTCGAGCTATTAATGGTGGTGACCATGAAACTAGTGCAGAAGAGTTCACCAATCGAGTCTTCAACAGGATTGATGTGAATGGCGACGGTAAGGTTCCTGCCTTTGTCATCCAGCTCAGGCAGCCTCTTTTCTATAGAGTAACATCCAGTTTTTCCCTTCTTGGTAGAACTTTAGGCCTCTTCACTTCATATTTTCTTTCTGTTTGCATTCTCAGACAGTAATGCGTTCTCCATGGACCAAAAAGGATTTTTCTCCTGGCATGATACATAATCAGGATTTTTTTCCCTCTACTGAGTCTTAGCTTTGTTCTGTTCACAAGAGTTTGGTAGGTTTTTGGAATGTAGGGTTTTGGAATGGTGTTTTGTTTTCCTTTCTGTATGTTACTGTATAGCTCATGCCAGTTAGAAGTGGGAAATATTAACAAATGGCCCCAGCTGCTCCTAAGTACTTTAGCATGGAAAGGAAGAACTGGAATTTAATGTTGAAGTTAAGAGTTTCTCCACTGGATCTGCTGCAGGCAACACAGCAAGAATATGAAGTGCTCAGTCAAAAGTTGGTCAAGTGTCACTGTGGTCCCTGTGTGTCCCCGATTGGTATCTCTTTCCTTGCTACTTCAGGTGCTTATTACTTTCTGACAGGCTCTTTTGTTATTCCAGAATAGCTCTGCTGATCTGCTTCCCTGAACAAGGGCTCTTTGGCCTAGGACAGAAAAATTTGTTTCTGCTTGTCACAGCCTCCTTCTGTCAGTTCCTTTATCCTTGAAAATCAGCAAGCGTAGGGCAGGTTACGACAGGTTGAGAAAAAAAAGGATGCTATGACCCCACTCCTTAGCTACCCACTGCTATTGTTCTTTCTTATTTACCTCTTCCCTTGTATGGGGTAAAAAAAAGGAAGCAGGTGTTGTCTGGATACTGGGGATGTTTCATAAAAGCTTAAGAAGACTCTCTGAGGTCTTTAGAAGAGTGCTTTAGAAAAGTGCCTATATAGTAAGTGGTCTCTAAAGCTAGATTATTGTACTCCTTTTCCTGTCAGGTGTGGATTGTGATGCCTTTTATTTGTGTCTGACACAGGTGAACTTTCTCTGGATGAATTTGTGGAGGGAGCAAGGAAAGATGAGGAGTTCATGGAGGTTATGATGAAGAGTTTGGACCTGTCACACATTGTGGCCATGATAAACAACCGTCGGCATAGTGTATAAATCAAGCTGGGAGAAAATGCTGTGTCAATAGACAGAAGGGTGTAGAAACACACGGAAGGAGAGACAGCATTTTTCAAAACAAAATTTCCATAAACATGAATATGGAAGTAGGAACAGAAAGACACTGCTGTGTATCTGAGTGCATGTTCCTGTACAAATACTGAAGCTTAGCCACATAAACGCAGGGCAGGTTCAGAAAAACAATCTGGGTGGCAGTATTTGACTTGTCTTTCTAAAATTTAAAGGCCAAATTTCAGGGCACAAATTTCCTTTTTATTCTGTGTCCCAGATTATCACTTTGAAATGGATGAAAAGTAATGCCAAGTTTGGAAGAACACTAGCAGAACTGGGTGGTGGAGTGTGGAGGAAATATTCTGATGTACAAAAGAAGAGTTTCAAGTTGTTATTAGTGTAGAGAACTATCATCAGAATGTAACTTGAACTGTTCTTGTCATGGTATTGGTTCATAAACACCAGCAAGGTTGTCCATACCAGGTGTGCTTGGATTTGGTAGTCTCTGAAGAAGCAGCTTTAGTCGTAAGATCACAAGAACTGAAAGAAAAACCAGTCTGATAGTGACAAATCTGCTCCAGCTATTTGAGCTTTCTGTCACCAAAGAGCTCTAGCAAACAGGTCAACGGTTTGGAGCAGCTTCTGTAACCAGAGAAAATATGCTACTCATTTTCCCAAAGTAGAAGAATAATTGAGAGATCAAATCTTTTATATACTTATGGTCCTACT